TGTTCGATTAGTCCCTGAACAAACCAGGTTCTTGAGGAAGAGAGATCGTAGATTGGTGCGCAAGTACGAAGGTCCAGTAAGGGTCCTTTCCAAGGTGGGGAATGCTTCCTACAAAATCGACCCTCCAAAGTGGATGAAGGTGCACCCAGTATTTCATGTGAGCAACTTGAAGCCATTCCATGCAGATCCTACAGATGCTGGTCGAAGAGAGCCAACCAGAGCCGCCATCACCATGAAACCACCCTCAGAGCGTCGAGTCCAAGAGATCTTAGCTGACAGGGAAACCAAGATATCTCGAAGACTAGTTCGGGAGTACTTAGTAAAGTGGGAGGGACTAGCACCAGCTGGGAGAGAGAGCACGACCTCCAGAGATTTCAAAGGAAGATCGAAGAATTTCAAGCCAGCAAGTCGATGAGGACGTCGATAGAATAGGTGGGGGAGGATGTCATGAGCCAACCTTGTATAAGGCCATGACCGGGACTTAGGTTGCCATGAGCCACCCATGTATAGGGTCATGGCCGGGTAGACCCCTTGTGTTAGGAAAAGTGTCCCCATTTCAAACATTGTAACGGTTACTGGTAGCATAGCTCTAAAATCTCTAAGGCTCTTTAGGGGGGGTAAGCCGGCAGGGTATTGTTGGGTTGTCTCACCGGGTGCTATACGAGCTTAGGCCACCCACCATGGGCTGCCCCCTGGCCCTGGTGATGGTGAGAGGTCCCGATGTATGATTCCTGATTTTAATAAAATTTACCTCAATTGAATGCCCGATTGTTGCCTCGATGTGTTTCTTTTTTTTCTCGATGTGAATGTACCTTGTTGTGTGTATGGATGAGATTGATCTTGATATATTGTGCCTTATTGTGAATGCTTGAGACTAACCATGGTTTATGGTTATTTGTTCAGATCTCGATCTATTGAAGGTTGATTTGGGTGAAAGCGTCCATTCAAGTGCCACGCGGGCTAGTACTTGTTGAGAGAAAGCTTAATCCGTGACACTTAGCCTGAGCTGACTTGTTGTGTGAGCTTGAGGAATTACGTCTAGACCTATCCATATGGATCGCTGACTTGATGGTCTTGAAACTATATCGGATAAGATAGATCGATCCTCCACGTCAATTCGACACAAATATTGAAAATTTTTTTGGTATGTTGAGTCGTTCTTTAGAGTGAAGTGACGAATTTACATTTATGACCATCAAATGCCTTTACATTTGCAAGTACTTGGCACCACCAGTATCCGAACGGCATTTCAATTTTTAAAGCCATTGTCAACAAGCGATGAGATTGCATTTTTGGGAAATGAAAATTTTATGAAATATATATATATATATATATTAAAATATAAAATTTTATCAAAATTTTTAATATCAAAATTTTTCATATCAAATTTGATATTGAATAAAATTAATTATTTTCATTGATTTTTATTAATTTATATAAATTTTAATAGAATATATTTTTTTATTAGTATATGAATATGAAACATATTTGGTAATTTTTAAATTATTTTTTGTTATTTGATTATTTTTAATCTAATAAAAATAAAATAATGAACAAACTCTTGAAATTGTTTTTTTTTTTTATTGCAACTTATTTTCTTTTACATTTTACTTTTTCAAATCAAAATTTTTAAAATTTTCAATCTTTTTCAAAAAAGCAATTGTGATCCTTTCCTAAAGTTTAAAGATCCTAAAACTAAAATTAAATTTTTTATTTTTATCTTAATATATTTTTACATTAAAAATAAAAGTTTTTATTTAAATATCATATAATCATATTAAGTATTTAAAATTATCATGATAAATTTATTATATTATTATTATATTTTTAAATTTATTTATTTAATTTTTGAAGATATTGTATATTTATTTTACAAATTATTAATAATATTATTATATATAAATTTATGTATATTTATAAATATACTTATATTAAATAAAAAAATTTAAAATAATATATCAAAACAACTAATACTAATACCTACATTAATCAAACTAAATTTTAGATTCTTCTATCTGATTTTTTTTATGCAAACCCTTATTACTATTATTGTAATACAATTAGACAACTTTTTTCCCCATTTGTCAACAACTTCCATTAATTTATGTTATCTTTTTCTTTCCCCAAAAGAAGTTATTGCCACTAAAATTTAGCTAATGTTATCTATGAGAGAAACTTATTTATTAAGTATCAACTTGGAGACAAGTAAATTATTGCCCATATTTCATCTTAAAGGAATTGAATTTCTTCAATTTTTAATGAATAACTTATTCTCATTACAAAATTAAGGTTAATTAAAAAAATTTTAAATAGCTCTTCGGAGGAATCCCATAGCGTATAAAACCTCCAGCGGGTGGGTAGCCGACCAGGCAGGAGAATGAAAGAACACAAAGGCATAACCAATGGCAGAGGTGAGCGATGTGGGATTTTTGAGAGCTACAGAGGCAACTTGCAGCTGTTGAAAACTGATGTCAGGGAGTGAAATTTGACTGACAGTTTGAATAGAAATACTGGTCGGCAATGGTTTCGCTGTAACCATTCGACAATTAATATCAAACAAAGATTATCCGATATCTTCTTCATCTTTTTGGTCATGGTTGTCAATTTATGAAGTCAAAATTAGTTAGGAATGAGTTCATATTGTTATCAAAATTAAAGGAAGAATGGCTTTTGTGTGAATATTCTGGTGATGAATTTGGATTGTTTCACTTTCATGTGAGGCAGCGTTCAATGGTTGCAGATTCCTGGGGTCCAATGTATCTTCTTTCATTAACTTTTTCTTGACCACTTCTCTTCAACTTTTAGGCATTTTCAAATTTAAACCTTCATTTTTTTTTTCTGCATCATGAAAGTTTTTAAAATATATATATTAAAAAAAAAAAAAAAACCTCAATCCTGGACTGGACAGCCATGTCATCAATGTTATCAAAATCTCATTTGACATCACGGCTTGTAGCCCGAAATCTAATTCGGTCAAGATCGATTCTGGCATGGGCCTAGCCTATTGGATTTTAGAAGCCTTAACTATTTTTTTTCTTCAAGTTTGGTGAATTTTGTGAAATGAATTTTTAACTTTTTCTCTCTTTTTTTTTTTTTTTCATATTTTTCTTACTAGTTATGGTATGGAAAATGAATAACCTATGTTATACAATATGAGGGGATTCTTATAAAAAAAAAAGTATAGCATCAATATTTTTTAACAAAAAATATAATTTAAAATAAGACAATATATTGTGAGTGTTGGAATTTGATTTTTAAATTTATTAGATATTATTTTAAAAAATAATTGTATAAATTAATTAAATTTAATTTAATATTTTTATTTGATGGATTTTACGATTCCTCACCTCTAGTTGAAAAAAGTAATAATAACATGGTTATATAGGGAGACTCATCTTACAAAAAAGGTTGTTTCTATGAAAATATTCCTTATTCTAAATAAAAAATAAATGTAAAAAATAATAGGTGTCTTCCCATGGGAAATAAAATAAAATAAAAAAGTAAATGATGTTTGAAACCCAAGATTTTAAAATACAAACAAATTAGAATTGATATAATAATATTGAAACAGTTCCAGAGATTTTTAGGTACACCAACCTTTGTCATGAAAGATATGATTATTTACAAAGTCCGCTCCAAAAATGGTGGCCTTTTACGTAGTTCCAGACAGAAAAGTATAAGAAATATTATAAAAATATATATTTCAAACATATGCTCTCAAATAAATTTGATAATTTAAATATAATAATATAATATGAAAAAAATATTTAAAATTTTAATAATTATTATATATAAACTTAATAAATGAAAAAAAATTTATATTTTTATATCAATATAAATTATAATATGTTTTTTTATATAAAATATAATTTAAATATATAAATTTTAATATTTCATAAAATTCGGATATATAAATCATTAAATCTATTATCAGACAATAAATTTTATTTCTTTCGGTGGAAACCCCAATGAAGGCTTTATCAAGTATAAAAATGAAAAAAAAAATTAAGTCTTTTGCGGCAAGTTAATTGGAGATTGGCATGGCAAAGGAAGGAGTCGAGTAGGGATTTGAGAGTTGAGACGGAGTCCTTGAGCACGAAAGTCAAACACAACACGCTCCCCACATGATTTTGATCAGTAACAAGATTAAAAAAAAGATTCTGGACAGCTAGATACCGACCAACAAAGCGTGGGACCCTATGCTCTAATGCTGCCCCATCTGAACAAACAGCCAGTAGGATGTTACTATCTCCTAAAAGATGCTTGCTTTTCACATTTGCAAACCTCAGCGCGTGAACACAAAGAGTTTTTAGGCGCAAAATCAGATATCCGATTCAGTTTTAATCTTGGCAATCAATGGGGCCCGCCATTGACAATTTAAGGCGCGTGAACCGACATTTACTGGGGATTTAATCGCGGGCAGTTTCGGAGGCATTCCTATAATTTGGATAAAATATTCCGGATCTCTTCTTACAGACTCTTTGCATAGATTAAGGTAGTCAAAGTACATTGCAGCCTACATTTCATAGTTGCAGTTACAGTACCCATTCATCTGGGACCGACAGGCGCACGTTAGCCAATAATATAAAATTTTAATTCTCCTGACTTAACCTGCGCATCGTGTCAGATTACTTAGACACAGTTTTCTGTGTTGTCAATGTGTTTGTCTCCATTATGGCATTATCCGAAACTTTAGAAAATTATGAATGGCCCCTTAGTCCAACACGTGTCCTTCAAATATTATGCCTGTAATTCTTTGATTTTTGTTTAAATTTGTCGTTGTTTTTTAAAAATTTTTTTAAAGATTTTTCTAATTTATAAATTATTTATTAACAAAAAAATAAAAATTCAAATTTAAATATTTTACATTGAGATTTTAAATTTTAAATTATTTACGTCAACCTCTATCTCACTAAAATTTCTTAAAACAGTAGAATTAATTAAACAATGGCTGTACTCAAAATTTCTTATTGTTTTGGTGGAGTAAAAAAGTGGCTTGACTTGTAAACTTATAAAGGGTTTGGTGATTAAGGACTTGAAGAGGAAAGGGTAGGTTAGGTGATTTTTTTGCTTTCAAACACTATTTCTTTACATTATTTTGTTTCTTTTGGAAAATCATATTTTCTTGGTCTTTGGTCTTTTTGTTTTCGAACTCTTTATAGACAGGATATCTCTCTTTGATAGTTTTTTATCTAGAGTCTTTTTTTTTTTTGAAGTTTTCACATTTTTCTTTTTGGTTTGATGGAGGAGAGATATGAGCCAGTGAAGGAGCTTGGGTCGGGGAATTTTGGAGTGGCAAGGCTGGTGAAAGACAAGAAGACAAAGAAGCTTGTTGCGGTCAAATATATTGAAAGAGGAAAGAAGGTAATATTATTATGATTTTAAGTATCATATTTTTAATTTCCAGCAATTATAGGAGCATAATCTGGGCAAAATCTCTGGCTGGTGATTGGTTTGTATATCGAGACTAGTAGTTCATTTCTGGTCTTTTATAGAAAGTTGTTTTGACTTTTCCATGTCAGGAGACTGGTTAAATAAGGCTTGGCTAATGTCTTCAATGGCATTTTGTGGGATAAGACACGAAATGTTGGGCAAATATTGTCTTACCATAATAGTGTTGACATCTATGTTTGAGCTACTCGATAATATCGTGTTCATTGTAATTATAATATACTCATAATGGACTATAAATGTATATTGAAAGTGAAAGTTCCCTACCTTTTGTCGCGGGGGAAGAGACCCTTGCTTAGTGAAGTTATTGACAAGTTTTATTTTCTTGAGAAGAAAGTTGTGTTGTTGAAACATTGCTTAGCTTCCTACTTTTTGTTGATAAAGAACAACAACGAAAACATTGCATGAGTAAGGGTCAAATTGCTTCAAATTATTAGATTAAAATTACTTTCCAAGTTGTTTAGGGATGAAACCTAGATTAGTTTGTCCCTTCTATTTAAGGATGGCAAGATGAGGGGTTTAACCAAGTAATGTTATCTTGGTGGCAATGAGAAAGTGAATCTTTGCTATGTTAGTGCCGAGGAAGGATGAGCTATATATGATGGTTAAAATATCCATTGGTACCTCTCAATATACTATTGAGAAGCAAATTTTAGTTTGATTTTTGCATTTGCCAATGTTGTTCCGGTGGTAACAGTTTTCTGATGGGAAATTTCTAGACTTTCACTAGAAAATTTTTTGTGTTTTAGCATTTATATGTTCAGAAATAGCTGAAAAACAAGTAGATGTGACATTGTTGGCTTCCTGTTATGTTTCTCGTGCAAAGATGTCCATTCTCAGTTGTTGTTTCTCAATTTTGTTTTATGCGAACATTTAGCCATAAATTCTTAAATGGGTATAATGAATGATGATTGTCATCTGAAGGAAATTAAGGTTACTTAAGTTCATATGTTGAATGTCATGCTCCAAGATAATTCATATTCTTTTTGTCATATTTTGTTATGTTATAATCTTCCTTTGCGCTGCCGCCATACAAAGGAACTGTCTTTCTTTCAAAGTTTTCAGCAATGGACATGATGTTTGGGTTCTCTCCATGAGCAACAGTGTGTTGCCTGTTGAATGTGTCAATTTCATTTTCTAGTATTTGAGTCTCACTTCCACAGTATACATTAATGTACATAAAATTTCTGTTTTTGGCTTCAGATTGATGAAAATGTACGGAGGGAAATCATTAACCACCAATCTTTAAGGCACCCAAACATAATCAGGTTCAAAGAGGTGAGAAATTGATATTACTATTTATTAGCAATTTTGTTGGAATTTTAGGTTCGAACATTAAAAAACTAGGTCTATTGAAGCATTTAGAAGAATATTTCAAGTTTCTTGATTTGGTTTGTCACTTCCATCAAGTAGCAGTTTGAAACCGAGTGTTCTGCACTGAGTATTTGAAGTTCTCTGCCCAAAAAGTATTCTGCATTATGAAAAATTAATTGATTAAACTCTGAAGTCGAAACAAGGCTCTATACAATTGGCTAAAGAGCAAAATTTTGTAAGGGATCACATTTCTCTGCAGGTTTTGTTGACTCCAACACATTTAGCTATTGTCATGGAGTATGCTGCTGGTGGTGAACTCTTTGAGAGAATATGCAGTGCAGGTCGATTTAGTGAAGATGAAGTGAGTTTATGTCCTTATTCAACGTCTTAATGTAATTTTCCTCTTGTTAATTTGCATGGAAGTCATCTGAGTTAATGTTTTCTTATAACATTTGGCTCTCGGCAGGCAAGATTTTTCTTCCAGCAGCTAATATCAGGAGTCAGCTACTGTCATTCCATGGTAAATTAAGTTATATGAATACCTTTTCAGGTTTTGTGTGATGGCCACTTTCTTACCTCATTCATTACTTCTGCTGCAGCAAATTTGTCACAGAGATCTCAAACTAGAAAACACACTTCTGGATGGAAGTCCGACACCACGTCTTAAAATATGTGACTTTGGTTACTCCAAGGTTAATTCCTAAAATCAAAATAAGTCATATCTGTTATACATCTTTGATGGATTCTGTACTATTCTTATTCTAGTTTTTAATATTCAATTCTTTAATTCCTTTTGTGAGCAGTCTGCTGTGTTGCATTCACAACCAAAATCAACTGTTGGAACACCAGCTTATATTGCCCCGGAAGTCCTATCACGAAAGGAATATGATGGAAAGGTATAAGTTTTCTGTTTGCTAAGCAAATGTCACAAAGATAGTCAACCTGGAATATTTCTTGTTTATTTATGGAGCATAAATTTGTGCTTGTTGCAGTTATGCGGTTATGATACCTAACACACATACACACACACATAATTATAAACCCTGTATTCCATACCTCCATGCATCTGCTAGCATATGTTAATTCAGTTAAGGATCTAGTGAAATACCTCTATCAATCTTCCAAAACAAAAATCCACTGTCAATAAAAATATCGATTTTTTCCATTTGTAACTAGTAGTTATGGTGTCCTCTCCTCTTACTTTTTGCTGGTAATTTGATCGTCTATGATTAGTTGTAGATTGCAGATGTTTGGTCCTGTGGTGTGACATTATACGTGATGTTGGTTGGAGCATACCCCTTTGAGGATCCTGAAGACCCTAGAAATTTCCGTAAGACCATTGGTGTAAGTTCTGAACTCTGCTCTTCACTTAGATGAGTTATCGTTTCCTTTTGTTTTTTTTTTAATGTGAAGTTGAATCATTTTTATTTTAACAGAGAATAATGAGTGTCCAATACTCTATACCCGACTATGTGCGGGTGTCTGCAGATTGCAGACGCCTTCTTTCTCATATTTTTGTTGCCAATCCCGCCAAGGTACCATTCTTTTTCTTTTTTTTGCAAATTTTTCTTGTCTTAGAATACTATGCATGTTATTGAATGGTATTGTCCATCTAGAAGGAAAACCATTTCAGTTTTAATATTGGTTCATTTCTTCTTTAGTTCCACTGATTAAAATATTTGTATACTGATTCTTTTATTCTTTGCTTAAAGAGGATTACCATCTCAGAGATCAAGCAGCATCCTTGGTTCCTCAAAAATTTACCAAAAGAACTGGTTGAAATTGAAAAAACAAACTATGCAGAATCAGAACGTGACCGACCATCTCAAAGCGTTGAAGAAATAATGCGTATCATACAAGAGGCTAAGACATTGGCCGAAGGAGCCAAAGTTGGTGAACAAGCTGCTGCTGGTTCATCAGACCTTGATGATGTTGAGGCAGATTTAGAATCTGAAATTGATGTCAGTTGTGACTTTGATGCCCCAATGTAAACATGGCCTTTGTAACTGCTTCAAGAAGATTTGTGTCTCTAGGCTCCTAGTGTGTTTTAGGATTATAGCTTTGATATGCTTTTATCATACTGGATATGCTGTATAGCAAGACTTACACTGGAGTGTGTTTCCTTACAGGCAGCAACGAACTCGTAGTGTTTTTAACGATTACAGCTTTGATATGCCTTTTTCATACAGGAAACGTTGTACAGCAAGACCTACACTGGAGTGTGCTGCCTTACAGGCAACAATGAACATTTGTGTGTATAATATGGACAAACGGTGTCTCATAAATCTTATGTTATTTTCTACTGCTATGAACACTATCAGTTTTACAGTTTATATTTTGTAATCAAGGTGTAATTTGGCACGTTCTGCTGAATGCTTGACTCATATGTTATTCCCTTGTTCTCCCGAGGTTAGCCTTTGCTAGTTACTTTTAATGCCCCTTATCAGTTAGGCTGTTAGAGTTATTAATAAATTTTTATGCATAAGAAAGAAACTGATGCTTTAATATGTAGCTTTGCCCAATCGACCAAGCCTATATACCAAAAACTTTTGGTTGCAGTACTTCGAAATGGTCCTCTGTGAAAGGCAAAATTTGGTAGCATTTAGATACATTTATGATACGTTGGCAGCCTGTAAGAACTACTAACATCCATATATGCCTATCTAATTCATTGTTGCTCTAACCCTGTAGTGGGAGGGGCTGGGATCAATAGCTAGTGCTGCACTGTTGTATGGTAATAGATTAGATTCCAGAAAACTTGGTTAGCTTTGTTATGAACTCTTTAGTCCTTAATTTTTTGAGCTACACATACGTGTGCCTTAGAGATGCTAACCCTAAATAACGGTACATTTTTTTGTGGAAGAAATAAAAAGAAAGAGAGAAAATATGGAGACAAAAACATTGGCTTTCGTGGTGTTAGTGGTAGTGTTTGCAGTTGCTGGAGACATGTGGGAGGTTAAGATGGCTGGTGCAGCCCTCAGTGCTGCTCACTGCAAGGAGGAAAGGAGTCTTGCATTTAATGCTTGCAAGCCGGTGGTCCATGGTAAGCTTCCAACCCCAGAGTGATACACGCGGGTAAGGGTTACCCATGTAGAATGCGTTTGCCCCGACCTCAACCCCAAGCTCGCTGCCCTTATTGATCTCAGTCGCGCCATCCGCCTCATTGAAGGCTGCGGTAGGAGGGTCCCTCAACACTATAAACGTGGAAGTAAGCTCTTGCATTTCTCTTTTAACATTATATGTATATATGCACGTGCATGAACAAACACATCAGTTGATATAATCTATTTTTCTTACTTTCCTTTGTTTCTTGTTTTTCCTATGGCAGGTATCACAACTTCAAGAAATTTGCCCTCCTTTGGATATTGTTATCTGCTATGCTTTGAGGAGTCAGCTGCTTCAAAAATAGAAATAATTAAACAATAATGGATTTTGAGCAGTGTATAAGTGCTTGCATATTGGCTAGAAAATTTGTTACTATTTTTTATTCTCAAAATCAGGTTGGGACTTGTGAATCTCTCTGCCCTTTTTAGTACCAAAAAAAAAAAAATAATAATAAATCAATTTGCGAAAGGAAATAAGGAAGTAAGTGAAGTCCTCATCAAAATACTAATAAATTTTCATGAAAAAAATAGGAATTGAAATTTTATGAAAAGGATAATTTATTAACCTTTCAAAAATTTTAATTCATTTATGCACGTCTTTTCTTCTCATGGACTATATTGAAATAAAAAGAAAGAAAGTGAGAACGCCTACTAAAACTTATAATTTTAATATCTATTTTATGCATTATTAATATATAAAATTTATACATTATTAATAAATTAAATAATATCATTTTGTTAATAAAAAATATATTAATTTATAAAAATAAATATAAAAAAATTTATTTATTTTTTTAAAATTACTCATTAATAAAATAACATCATCTTATTCATTATATTAATAAGATGAAATTATTATTTGATGAAATATAAATCCTCTAGCTATAAAACTAAAAAAAAAAAGAAAAAAAATCAACCTCTTTTGGTAGCAAGAACGGCACCGTTAAAATCTTTCACCATCACCAGAAAATGATCAAAATCGTCCTCTTCTCCTATCAACTTGACAAAGGTGAAACGAGCCAAAAGTTGGCTAATTCACGTTCCAGATAATAGTTAGTAGCCAACAAAGAAAGTTAACTCACCAACTTTCTCTTTTATAAAGAAATTTAGTTTATTGATAAATATCCCCCATGAGTACGTTTACTTACTGTCTCCTCTGTTTTCACAGTCAACGCTCTCTCCCAAATCCAAATCTCTTATCTCATTTCACGATCCAAAGTTTCCAAATTCCCTTCTGGGTTTTTCTCTTCACTCCTTAATCTGATATGGGTCGTAGGCCAAACGACCCAGAACACTCCCGTTTCGCCTCTCTCGTCCTCGTCTTGGTGGCTCTGTTCTCCTGTGTTCTGGTCTATGCAGTTGTTTCTACTCTCTTGAACCCCAATGTAAATTCTCAAGCTTCCAGGTTTGGGTCTTTGGAAGTGGTGATGAGTGGTGATTTGGGGGAAAAGAAGGGTGAGTGTTGTAGAGGCATTGAGAATTTGGAGCTGTGGGGTGCAGCTGTGAAGTGGGGGTCTGAGTTCAAGTTCAAGTCCTCTCTGGAATGTTGTCAGGCTTGCAAGACCATGTGTAGTGGCAATGATGGGCCTTGCTTGTGCGATACTTGGGTTTTCTGTGGGAACAAGGAGGCCTGCGGATCGAGATTTGGGGAGGTGGGTTTTCCTTTTTTAACTTGCTTTTGTGATTGATTTTTAACCCTTTATTTAAGGTGAGTCTGAAATGCCAGATTGGATTATTACCTGTTCTTAATTGTTTCGCTTTTATGTTTTTGGTGGTGCTTGTTTGCCTTGACCTGGTGAATTCATTAGCGTGACTGAGAATTGAGATTTGACAATGCTAAATTCTGTTCAATCTGTTTTCTTACTGTCTAAAACTTGGTACTAATTTGCTTGTCTAGTCTTCAATGTATTATCAGGAGAATGATTAACAGATTTTTAGATCAAACATTATAATTTCTTTTAGAATGGTATAATTTAAGGGGTGCTTACGCAAAAACTTTTAAATCTGCTCAAGAATCTTGGCTTGTATAGTTCATTTCTGAAGAAGTTAGCTGGAATGATCAAAGACAAAAGATACTTCTGATCTCCTGTTGCTATTGAATCTCACATTATTAGGTGCACTTTCATTTAAGCTTAGTCATCTTCTATCATGGCTTAATTGGGTGGTGCAAAAGGTGGCTTAATGTTCTATCTGCTTTTGGTGCATAAGGTAATTCTAATTTTAAATCACCAGAGCTATAGTCTTATATTTATCATTTTGTTCTACCAGTGTTGGTTGAAGAAACAAAAGGATACTTTGTCCCCTGATCAGCAGGATGCCGGGAAAAGTGTTAGTTGGACTTCTGGGGTCATCTTCGGGAAAGGAGAGGTATGCAACATAAGCTTGATGAAAGTTTTTCGATTTTCTTTTTCTATTTTTATGATACTGGCTGCATAAGCTGATAATTTGAGTACTTTTTTCTGTTAATTATTTTAGTAGGCACAATTCCTCTTTAACCCTTTTATTGTTGAAATTTCATGTTTCTATCATGTGAATAACACTTCTCCAGCATTGATGATCATTCTTCTCTGTTCAGGGCATTGTTGGGATGGAAACTGAATATGGTACTCTTCATATAAAAGTGAGTACTTTTACTTCTAGAACGCTATGCTTCCTCTGTTTTTTGTTATTGTGGGTCCTGTTCAGCAGTATCGTAGAGTGTGGGACTGTTAGTTACAGCTCTTTCAGAAGCTATTATCTGTTCTATTGCTTCACTTTTTTAGCCTCTTTCTGCTAGTTATAGTGGGAAGTAACGTAAATAAAAGATGAATATTTCTGATCTTAGGATTATTACTGTGATCAGCATGTGCCATTTAGAATTTGTTTGCTCCTGTTTTGTTAATTTTTCTGGTTGACATGTTGAATTTACAATGAAGATGGTCCTTCTTGTGAAGCCATTGAATTAGTAAGACCTTCTCCGAACAAGGTTTGGAGTTTTATATAGGTGATAAGAAAACAAATTTGGAGAATTTCAGAAAAATTAAAAGATAATTAATTGTTGCCTCCAATTATTCTTTGTTTGATGCAGCTTTTCCCAGACTGTGCCCCATATTCTGTGGCCTACATTCTTGAGTTGTTAACATTGCGCCATTGTGCTGGTTGCCAAATATATCGTGCAGAAAGCCGAGGACAATCTTGGGATTCAGAAGGAAATCATATAAAAGATGTAAGGAAATTTAAGAGCATCTACTTGTTTCTTTTGGGGCTGCCATTGTTATAAGATTGTAGTGTTTTTCTTGATTCTTATTTTCTTTTTCTTTTCTTTTGTTTTTGACCCATAAACTCTGTTATAGAATTTGTGATTTGGTTTAACTTGGACTCAGGAACTTTCTTTAAGATGGATTGAGTAGCTCACCGAGCTAGGTCTTGATGTGGGGCTGATGGGCTAGAGAGGTTCTAGTGGATCTTCGATTTCACCAATTTTATAGCAATTCAAATGATGATACAAATATGTCCAAAAAATCCATCATTCCCTGCTATTTGCTCTCTTTTCTCGTTAGATTTCTGTTTCTTAAGCTAGCGGAGAAGAGAAATTCTTTCAACAGTACATTTGAGGGAAAATTATTTCTATCAAGTTGGTCATTACTGCAGGAAAAGAAGTAGAGATGGTTCATGCTTGTGTGTATTTTTAATCAAATCAATTATTCATACCATATGCTTCTAGCTAATGAAGATTTTATATTTCTAATACCAAGTTTCTGACAAATTTATAGGCTAATTATGGCCCACCATTTGCACTGATTCAAGGGATTCTTGAAGCCCAAGGAACCCCATTCAAAAAGATTCCAACAGAGGCTTGCCCTACCATAAGAAGGGGATCGGTTGCCTGGATTGGCTTTGGTCCAGAGTTCTTCATAAGCCTAGCTAACCACGAAGAATGGAAAAATTCGTACACTGTATTTGGTTCTGTTCTTCCAGAAGACATGGAGATTGCAGAGAAAATCGCACAACTTCCAACCAAATCAGATATCTGGAACAACATTAACGTGTCTGTCTTGCAAAAGCCTGTTCCCTTGATTATGCGAAGAATGAAGAAGAATCTTGGAGATCTTAATACAAATTTGAAATCAGAGTGAAGCTGGTATTTATATATTTTTCTTGTTTGTTTCTACAATTTTCTTCATATTTGCTTCTTTTTTAAGCTTCATTTATTCCTCTATTTTTCTTTCAAAAGCAGTAATGCAAAGGTCTTGAGTCAATTTATTGGTCTCATGTATTTTCTTGGTAACTTTGAGAAAGGTGTGTAATTTGTGCTCAAATCACTTTATAATAAAGCTTAAGCAACTAGTTGTGCATCAAGAAAAAGAAAAGTTGGATTGTGTTCTTTGGAGCAACTCTTCTGCCTTTTCTCAAATGGTTTTGGGGTATGGCAACATTCAAATTGTTCTGAACAATTCTAAAGATTTTTGCCATATATATATATATATATATATTTCACTCGAGGCCGTTGTCATGAACTAAATTTTAATTATTATAATATCAATTTTAAAATAAATATATAAAAAATTAATATTTTAAAAATTTATTCATTTATGAAATGATATCTTTTGATTTATTTTATCAATAAAAGTATTATTATTTGATTAATTAACAATATATTAAATTTATATATTAATTGTATATTAAATATAAATTCATATAAAAAATTCTCTCAAATTGGTTTATGGCTTTATAGTGTATAATTCTTCCTAGCTGCTCTTGCTAATCAGTTAAACAAGGAAAGCTAAAAGATGTAATAGAAGCCTGCCGAGCGTCAACTGGTAACGCAGCGTTGCATACCTTTGACAGGGAACAGTTGTGCCGCCGAGTCCATTTTCCAACGATCATAAAATCCGTCAAAAGAATCTTCCTTTCCTAGTCCACTTTCCACATCCTCCATCACACACGCACACGCTGTCTCTGCCTCAACCAACACTGAAGAACATGGCGGTCGCACTCGCAGGCTCTGCTAATCTCACCGCCCCAAAACCCTCTCTCGGAGGTACCTTCACCATCCTCCCTCTCTCCCCTCAAATGCCAACCCTCCACGTCACAAGAAAACCCAACCCCACCATTATCGCTTCCGTCTCCGCCTCTTCTTCTTCTCCCTCTACCGGTCAAGCCCAATGGTCTCTCGATTCCTGGAAGTCAAAACGGGCCCACCAACTTCCTGAATATCCGGATGCGGACGAACTGGAGTCGGTACTCAGAACAATCGGGTCGTTCCCGCCAATTGTGTTCGCTGGGGAGGCAAGAAAGCTGAAGGATAAGCTAGCAAATGCTGCCGTCGGGAAAGCGTTTCTGTTACAGGGCAGTGACTGTGCAGAGAGTTTCAAAGAATTCAATGGCACCAACATTAGAGACACTTTCAGAGTCCTTTTGCAGATGGGGATTGTCCTCACTTTTGGTGCCCAAATTCCCGTCATCGCTGTCTGTTAATTTAACAAAATCCCAACTTTCTCTAGCTAAATTTGCCCCATTTTAAGACAAAAAGCTTTGATTTTTTTTTTTCCTAATAGTGTGATAGGTTAGGAGGATGGCAGGGCAATTTGCAAAGCCAAGGTCAGACCCATATGAGACAAAAGATGGAGTTAAGTTACCAAGTTATCGAGGAGATGACATAAATGGTGATGCTTTTGATGAGAAATCTAGAGTTCCTGACCCTCAAAGGCTGAATAGAGCTTATCTTCAGTCTGTTGGTACATTGAATCTCCTCAGAGCATTTGCTACTGGTGGCTATGCTGCTATGCAAAGGGTCTCCCAATGGAATCTCGATTTTGTTAGACATAGTGAACAAGGAGACAGGTAAATCCTATTGTCATTGGAGCTGCATAGATTTGCAGTAATAGTTGAATTTGTTCCCAAAAGCAGGTTTCCATCCATTGTTGCCATCCCAATGCCAATATAGGCCTAGGATTTGTTTCTTGTTGTTGGCTTTAGAATCTGTCTTTGATTTATAATTAGGTACATGGACCTTGCATAGAGAGTTGATGAAGCTCTGGGATTTATGGCTGCGGCTGGGTTAACTATTGATGACCCTCTAATGAACAAAGTTGATTTTTGGACATCCCATGAATGCCTCCATTTACCATATGAGCAAGCCTTGACTAGAGAGGATTCAACAACCGGCCTCTATTATGACTGTTCTGCTTACATGCTTTGTGTAGGTGAGAGGACACGGCAGTTAGATGGAGCACATGTTGAATTTCTCTGGGGTATATCCAATCCTCGCGGTGTAAAGGTACATGGTGCTTATTATCTTTTAGAGTCTAAAAGTCATTGCCAATTAGATTTGTTTAGATAATCATCACATTCCTGTTAACTGTACTTTTGACAGTGAGCAAGAGCCTTTTCTTGAGTTTTTTTATTATCTTTAGTATAGCTGTAGCGATTTTATTCTAGAGGTAAGAATGTAAGGTTTGCTATTATATTGATCAGCTAGTGGGTTTGAGTTTCGTATCCTCTTGGCTCCTTGCTATTAAAATGGAATTTAATATCTGTTAAGAACATAATTTTGATTCAAATAGGGAACCATCTCTTAATTGACTCCAAACCTTTGCTGGAAAGTTAACACTCATGTGGTACTTGGTATGATTAGTAAGAATGCAAATCTGTGCGTTAGACAATCATATAACTCTAGCTTGTTTTGAGACTCATCGTGGCATCAACCCTTGCTCTGGAACTTCATAGTTAAATTTTAGTTTGTTTGTCTACTGACAAGAGTTAGTACATGAAGTTGAAGGCTTTAGGCTTTCATGTATTTGTCACTTTACGTCATTGAGTAGGCCCAGTTGTTCCTTTTCGAGTAGGGAATTGTGCAACTCAAGTTTTATATAATTTAAACTTTTTGGTTTTTAGTGTCAAAATATCAAACCATAAATCTAGTGAACAGTTATTGAGTGAGATTTGTTGATTTGCATATGTAAAGCTTAGGTGCATGTAAGGTTCAAGTTTTAGAAACCAAACCATAGTTTTTCCTTTTCTTTTAATCAGTAACTGGAGGGAGAAAAGGCTTGATGTAGTTTTAGTTGCTATGTTTGAATGATACTTTTTGGTTGCTGATATCTCCATGAATCATGTAGGTGAGAGATAAGATGGACCCGAAAGAACTTGTAAAATTGTGTGAAATTCTTAACCATCGGAACAAACCTGGAAGACTGACAATAATCACCTGAATGGGAGCTGATAACATGCAGATAAAGCTTCCACATCTTATTAGGGCTGTGCTCCAGGCTGGGCTTATTGTCACGTGGGTGAGTGATCCCATGCATGGAAGTACAATTAAAGCTCCATGTGGTCTCTAAACTCGTCCATTTGATGCAATCACGGTAAGAACTCTTGAACTAAAATTTCTTAGCAAACCTTTTTTTTGGACTGTAGTGAAGCCTAAATGTGATATTTTTGTCCCTTTTACATTCTTCTCAGGCTGAGTTGAGGGCATTCTTCGATGTTCATGAACAAAAAGGGAGCTATCCTGGAGGAGTTCATCTGGAGATGACAGGGCAGAATGTAACAGAGTGCATAAGAGGGTCAAAGACTGTAACTTTTGATGACTTGAACTGTCGGTATTACACACATTGTTACCCTAGATTAAATGCATCATAGTCATTAGAGCTAGCCTTTGCCATATCAGAGAGGTTGAGGAAGAGAAGGCTCAAGTCTGCCAAGGAATTTCTCACTGGGAACAGAGTTATTTAGTAGTTCAATGGCATAAGCCAGTCAACTGCTCAACCTTGACTCTGTTGAGAATAATTATTTAGTTAAACTTTTTTTTTCATTGTCTTATGTCTGCAAAGGAGAGAGCTTTTTGTACTGGTATAAATTACTTCCATTCCCCAAAGGAGCTGTGAACTAATCTCCTCGTTTGATACTATAATCAAGGTGGCCGTGTTTGTTAGATCGAGTGTGGATTTTTATATGTAGAATTGGTGATCTCTGCTCGTCATTTTACATTGGATAAAAGCTTGGTTACCATTCAAACAAAAGTAATACTATAGTGTTTAAGAAGTGGCAAAATGTTGGGAGTTTTAAAGTAAGATTTTAGTTCAATTAATTTATATAATTATTCTTAAAAGATAATATTTAATAGGTTTGAGTTTTGAATTTCAATATTTGTAATTTTTTTCCTTTATCATCTGTAATAAGACTCGGTATGGTACGGACTTTGGAGGATGACAGCGACATTTGACTAAAAGAACTAGAAAATGCGTAAGCTGGTAATGTTTTAACAGGCCACATGCTCGATGTAGCTTTCAACGTTCATTAGAAATAAGAATAGAGTTCACTTCACTTGATTAGGTGCTTAGATATCAAGTAAAACTCTCAAAATTCAAATATAGTGCAGTCTGTGGTAAAGGATTTCACAAATAGGAGAAAGAAATCCTGATGTCCCTTCGAGTTTCTTAACCCGTGGTGAAAATGATATAAAAGTTTATTTTTAAATAAAAATAATTCACTAGAATACTTAAGTACCGGTGGATCCGTGGCGCAATGGTAGCGCGTCTGACTCCAGATCAGAAGGTTGCGTGTTCGATTCACGTCGGGTTCAAGATCCCGATCCTAAACGGTCCAAAATTTTTCCTTTGGGTGGTTCTTGATCGTTTGCTATGTTTTGCTTGTCCGTTTCAAAATAAAGCATCAAAGACTCAGTCATAATGAATACGGAAGAATACATTTCTTTACACGGACACCCAATATATATATATATATATATATCTTTATCTTTTCACCAATCGAAGTGGGCAAAGAAATACCTGAAAAAGATGTATTTTGCGTCAGATCCCACTAAGCCAAAAAAAAAAAAAAAAATCAGTATCTTGAACAATATAAACAGATTACAAACTTTATGGGACCCACTATAATAATATTTTTCTTATCATTGAAAATTCTATGGTTTTCAGTACAATCTTTTATGGTTAAATTTTGGACATAGAAAAAGAAAAAGAATAGTAATTAATAGAAAATAGGAAGACAATGAGAGGAATAGCTTGATTTTCTAATTTAGATTGAACTTGAATTGTTAAACATCTAGCTTGGTTGGTTGGAAAGATGGGTTTGGCACTTCATGAACAGCCATCTCCATCTCCATCTCTTCTGCTTCAAAAGTTGAGTGAACTCCATATAATACATAGAATACAGTTATCAAGCATGCCCATATAGCAAATCTTTGGAATGAGAGCATCTTTAGAGTGGTAGTAAGGAAGACATTAAGGAAAATGGATATGGCAGCTGGCCAAGGCATGAATGGCACTGACCATTCACTAGGCTGACCAAGGCAAGGGACCTTGAACTGGAAGAAGGCTGTAATGGTAATCATGATCCCACCAAATAGAGGTAAACCCCACCATTGCTGTTTCAGTTTCCATGAAATTGAGAAGCCTATTGCACTTGTCGTAAGGAGGAAGAGGAAGGACAGTGTCCGGAAAGGTGGATTTTTGCTTGTTATCACATATTTCCGATAGATTAGAGCATTGGCCACCAGATAGAACACCAACAGTGTGCCGATGGAGATCATCTCAATCACTATGTCCAGGTCTGTGAAAAGTGCTATTGATGCTGTGCAAAGCCCTACATCAGGGGGACAGATCAGTTCCCTTTATTATTATTTTTTTCTTCTTATTCTTAAAATTACTGCTATTGTGAATAATCCCTCTTTTATGTATTCCTTTTTTCAAGTTGATGTGCTAGGCTATAAAAGAACGCAGTAATGACCTTTCTGAAGTGTGATACCAGGTTCATGAAGAAGTAAAGAACTGGGAAAAATTCACATACCCAAAAAGAGTGTGGCATTCAATGGGGTGCCTGTTGAAGGATGCACCTTAGCTAGCCAGGATGGCACTAATCTGGCCCTTCCTATAACACAGAGGTACCTGGCTTGGCCTAACATGGCAACCAAGAGAGAAGCTACTATTCCCAAGCTTGCTCCTGCCCCAACAACATTCCCCGCCCACCTCCAACCAATTTTTTGGAAAGCCATTGAATACGATGCATTTTTAGCTATCTGTAGAAGATAATATGAAATATATCAAGATCGTTCCACTAAGAAAAACTTTATTCTTTTTCAGGATCATTTGGTTTGATCAAGTTTAGATGATTGACCTGATTGTAAGGAACCATCATACACAAAGCCAAGGCCATGAGACAGTAAAGTGCCGAGACAATGAGAACAGAACCGACGATCCCCACTGGAAGGCTTACAGGAGGGTTTTGGGTCTCTTCAGCCAAGGTTGAAACTGAGTCATAGCCTATGTAGCTGAAGTAAACTATAGCTGCTCCATCAAGCACACCTTTAATACCATTAGGAGCTAGCCCTCCCGGCTTCACCAAGTTATCCACTTTCCCATTGCAGAAACCCACGATTATTATAAATCCAAAGAAAATAACATGAAAGATTGTCATAAGAAGGTTCAAGATCGAGCTTTCCTTTGTACTGCAATCCCCATAAAAAAAAATCCATCACTTTCAAAATCCACTGAAAAAACTATAACTATTTTTTTCTTTGTCTTCAACAACAATGAATAGAAAAAATCCAATTATCAAACTATTAATAAACAGATAACTAAAATAAATGCCCCACTTCACTCACTTTCTTGTTAAAGAAACATGTAGCTACAAAAAACTGCCTGCCATAAGATTAATAGAAATTGTAACAAAGCAATATTTAAGAATTTCGAAGTACACATCGAAAAGGTAGCAAGAGATCAAACCTATGGCATAGACAGAGAGTGAGAAGAAGAACAAGAGCAACAGCAGTGAAATCCAAGTTGTTATAGCCTTCTAGCAATCCATGAACTTCAACTCTCCAAGAGTTGGAATCACTTACTCCAAAGGCTGAGCATAAATACTCTGTAAAACTTCTTGCCACCGCGGCGTTTGATAACACATACTCCATTAGTATGTTTGCCCCAGCAAAATAGCCCACAAATTCTCCTACACCATTCCAAAACAAAGAATGGAAATGGAGAAGTTGATATCTATTGCTATATTGTGTAATCATTTGTCAAGAAATGGAGAAAAGAAGAGATATAATGTAATGACATATACCGAAAGTCACTCTCAGGTAACTGAAGGCACCGCCAGCAACCGGAATCTGGACTGAAAATTCAGTGTAACATAAAGAAGAGAGAAGTGCTGATATTCCAGCAATGATATAGGATATGAAGACTGAAGGACCAGAATTATTGCGGGCTACAGGGCCAGTGGTGACAAAAACACCAACACCAAGCATTCCACCTATACCTAGAGCTACTAAATCATACCACGTAAGTTTCCTCTTCATATCAGCACCAGATCTTAGCCTCACTTGGTCAAGTTCTTGGTCTGGGGTCCATGTTGCTAGCATTCTCTTTCTAAGCCTATGAGGGGTTTCGCAAAGAGAATGGACATAGTTGAAGAAGAAAGCTTTGTTGTGTGTGGATTGAATGGTTGCCATGGTTGATGTTTGTGAAGGAAATGACTGTTTTGTGGCTTTCCATGAGAAGTTCGAGTTGAGGGTTTAAATATCCATTTAGGGGAGAGAGAGAGAAAGGATATATTGACTATATAGATTCTTTTTTCTAAAGTTTGATGGAGAACCACATTAGTGTCCCTTAGCTTTATTGAAAATACCTAGTTGTTCCTTGAGTGTATTCAGACTGACAATTATACCCTTTAATCTCTCTCCTACACAAACAGCTTTTTATAGACCCAAGACTCCAAACGGTTCTTCTATTATAGAAGCATGCAAAGAAAAAAGCTAGAAAAAGGCCTAGCCATTTTGGAAACAAGTTTTGTAAGAGGAATAACTATATGTGAGGAGAGACATTGACCTAATCTTTTGGAATTTCCTCACCTGAAACTTTCAACAGATGTGACAAGCATCCCCATAAACTTTGTTAAAGCAACTAAAGATTGCTTCACCATCAGTCTCAAGAATAATTGGACTAATTGATTCCTCAACAGAACATCACGGTTGCCGCAGATACGCCAGTGTAAAAAATGCCTTCTTCCAGAAAATCTTGAAATTTATGTGTAACACGTGTATGTGCACTAAACACCGATTGATTTTACCACAACTGTGACCAGTACTGACTATTTGGTCTGATGTGTGATTAATTCAAGGATGACATTCAATCCAAGTTTATATATATATATATATATATATAATTTTGCATTGAAAGTTCTGCTTAAAAGTGAGAACAGTTGACAGTGGTCTTGGAATATGTTGAATAATGTCAAAACTTCTATGATTTCATCACCTTTTAGAAATTGATATCAGATTGAGTAGCATTAGAAAGCCTCTTTAACAGCTTGGCTAGGTTAATATTAGAGTTGAGTATCGATCATGTGGCCAAGTAATATGCATTACAATTGGTAAATCTTGTCCCGCCACTCGGAAGATTCGCATCAGGTGTTGTGAAAACTTTTTCTTCCTTTTCTCATTGAGAAATAACGCTTTCGGCGCTTCATGTAACTATACTTCTATGGCTGTTCAGTCTTGTATGTCTTTTTAATCCAACAGCTAGGCTATGCAACGGATTACAATCCTTTCCTTTTCCTTGTTCGGCCGTAAACCCCTCATTGCCTGTTAAAAGTATAATTCAAGCTCAGGTCCTTAGTTCATCATTACGTGTGCTTTCGCAACTAATTCTGAACTCTAAAGCACACAAATGTTTGATATGAGCAAGGAATGAAACAGATAATGCAATAAGTAATTAATAACTTAAGCATCTCGAATATATCATTTGCCAACCTTCTGAGCTATCAAGATTTGGTTTGATCTTCCTGAAGAATGTGCCTTTTTTTTTTTTTTTTCAATCTAATGAATTCATAGAGCTCTATAGAGTATATACCTGTTTTGCCTTTCTATATTCTTTACCCCATCTAAATAAGCTGGGGTTTCAGCCTATCCCACATTTCACAACTTGATTTGTGGATAAGCCTTTTGAATAAACCAAAGACTCACCCCATATCTCAAATTGTGGGAATTCGCTTAAGATCATCACATTCAATCCTATAGATAAGACTCCAAGATATTGCATAAGCAACATGGAAGAGCTAAAAAATGGGTGGAAATCGGTTGTGACTGTTAA